AAAAAAAAATAAAAAAAATTAAAAAACAAAACAAAAAAAAAAAACAAAAGAAAACAAAAAAAAAAAACAACAGGAAACCTAATTTAAGAGCAAAGTAAAGGGTAAAAAAAAACCCATTTGTTAGGCCTCCCATTTTACCAAAAAAGCAGAACATTTAAGTTTCAAGTGGAGTAATTTTTAAAGCAACCTAGACGAGCGTGTCCAAGGTGCTCGAAGCTCAGAGTGCAGAACTTTCTGCTTTATTGTTGTTTCATTTGCGATTTACTGGACATCATAATGCATCGCAGACAGTTCAAAGTGTCAAAATTGCTATTGGAGCTCCCTGATGAGAGGTGTAAGAGAGAGCATAGTGCTTACTTCATTTTTATGTCAGAAGCAAGAAAAGTTAACCTTTTTAGAAGTCAAGGCAACTCCAGTGTTGCAGGGTCATGACCGCATAGTGAGCCATGCTTCAGTGGGAATTCATGGGCACTGACAATGACTTTTGTTCTGACCAGACAACAGGGTTCATGGCATCATGAGTTTGGGGGGAAAAATACTTCCAGGTGTGTCTGTTAACTACAAAGTATGTATATTATACTTCATGAAAAATTTAGAAAGTCTAAATGTGATTTGTAGATTTTTCTTTTACATTCTTATAACCAGGAAAACATCCAAATATTTTCATTTTTTATTATATGTACATTTGTGTGTTTGAGTATGTGGTTGAACACCTGAGTGTAGTGTTCATAAAGGTCAGAAGAGGGTCTTGGATTCCCTGGTGCTGGAGTTACAGGCAGTTGTGAGCTATTCTAGGTGGGAACCAAACTCAGATCCTTTTCTACAGCAGCACTCTCTCTTAACTGCTGAGCTACATCTCCAGCCCCATAAATAAATGTTAATTATTTAAAAATAAAAAAAAATAAAAAAAATATTTTATTTACTATTGTTTTTTATTTTACATGTATGAGTGTACTGCCTGTATGTGTATAAGTGCACCCATGTTGTGCAATGTCCACAGAAGTCAGAAAAGGGTGCCAGATCCCCTGGTACTGGAGTTACAGATGGTTGTTAGCCGCCATGTGGGTGCTGGGATCTGAATCTGGGTTCTTTTGCAAGAACAGTCAGTGCTCTTAACTGCTGAGCCATCTCTCCAACCTGTTTCTATCACGTTTTTTAAAAAAATATATTTTTTTAATTTTTCTTAATTATTTTTATTTTATGTGTATGAGTGCATCCATGTTGTACAATGCTGCGGAGCTCAGAAGAGAGCATTGGAGTCCCCTGGAACTGGAGTTAAGGACAGTTCATAGCCACCATGTGGGTGCTGGGAATTGAACCCGGGTCCTCTGCAAGAGCAGTCAGTGCTCTTAACTGCTGAGCCATCTCTCCAGCCCCTTATTTATTTTTATGTGTATGAGTGTTTTGCCTACATGTAAGTGAGTGCACCCGTGTCGTCAGAAGAGGTCAGAAGAGGGCTTCAGATTCCCCTGGAACTGGAATCAAAGACAGTTTGTAGCCGCCATGTGGGTGCTGGGAACGAACCCGGGTCCTCTGCAAAAGCAGTCAGTGCTCTTAACCACTGAGCCATCTCTCCGGCCCCACGTTTCTATCACTTTAAAAAAAAAATTTATTTTTAATTGTGTGTCCATGTTTTGATATGTACACATGAGTACAGGTGCCCTTGGAGGACAGAGAGGGTATCAGATCACTTAAAACTGGAGTTACAGGTGGCTGTGAGCTCCCCAATGTGGGCACTAAGAACCAAACTTGGGTCTTCTGCAAGAATGGCACTTTTCTTTTTGTTTGTTCTTTTTGAGACAAGGTCTCCCTGTAGTCCCAGCTGACCTGGAACTTGCTATGTAGACCTGGCTAGACTTGATCTCACAGAGATCTGCCTCCTGAATGTTGAAACTAAAGATGTGTGCCACCATACCCAGCTTATGGTACATGCTCTTAACCACTGTGTCATCTTTCCAGCCCCCTAGTATGCATCTTTCCTACAGTGCTAAACCAGGGCCTTGTATTCACCAGGCAAGTGTTCTACCATTGAGCTACATCCCCAGCCCTGGTTCTAGCACTCTAATAGTCTAATACACACACACACACACACACACACACACACACACACACACACTTATTTCTTTAATAATTTGAGTCATGGGGTCTTATTATGTAGCCCAGGCTGGCCTGAAGGTTGTAGTTCTCCTACATCAGCCTCCCAAGTGCTGGGATTACAGGTATTCACCACCACACCTGGCTCTTAATGGATAATTTCCCAGAAGGAAAAAAAAAAAAAAGTCCTAGGTAGATGCACACAGTATAAGAAAAGTAGCTCTTTTGAGAATCTTCTAAGAGCCACAAATTTTTTTTAAATGTATTATATTTGAGGAGGAAGCATGGAAATTTACATCATGTTAATTAGTAGAGGTGATAAACATTACCACTGAAATCTACCCGATGACTCTATAGATGTGCACAGGCGCCAAGGATCCAAGTGCAACGGATTATGACTAGCAATAGATATATACAGATTAGAGATGCATGTGCCAACATCTCAGTGTTAGTAGCAAAAACAATGAGTCTTTCTGCAAGGAACAATATAAAATATTCTAAAATGAAATGGAGATCTTACAGGGAGTCTTACAGGGCTTATACTGAGTTCAACATTGTATAACTGTAATAATTCAACTGTGAGCCGAGAAACTTGCAGCCACTTGTGAAAGAGATGGACTCTTGCTCTGGAGTGTGTTACTGAATATGTTAATGCTGTAATGAAATGCTTCTTCTAATCATGTAGTTATTAAAAATGATTAAAAGAGATGTAAAATAGAAGATTATTCATGATTAGCAACTCTGCCCTTACAACAAAATAAAGAACATGCATACATACAGATGTAAACTGGATGCCACAAACAATAATGGTATAAATATCACCTATTACCCATGTCTTAATACCAACAACTATTAAGTCTTAACTACTTATTAACCAAAAACTGGGTAGGTCCAACAAGATGATTTAAACTCATGTAAACTATTACACCAATGGCCACATAGTACTGCTGCGTTAATCTAGATTCAGTTGAGCAAGGATCTAGAAAGACCTTTTCTAAAAAGGCCTTCAGGAATCTATATATACACACAATAACTGCCCCTTTGGCCTTTCCTCCCTCCCAACTGTGGTGACATTTTGTTTCATATGTATCTTCCTGCATCCCTCATTCCCCTGAGAAAGTTCTGATTTCTTCCAAATGCAGTCAGATTTGTGGTTTAAGACTGTAAGTCCAGTCTGTCAAACACTGAACAAGAGGAAGGAATAAAAAATCCTTTCTCAGAGTTCCGAGAAGGCTTTGCCAAGATCAGGTATATAGGACAGGATTATAAAAGTCTAATAAAGCGTGGGGAATGTGAATGTGAATGTGAATTTCTGTTAAATCTTGAGAGGGAGATATCATAGCAGCCAGGAAAGTAGAAAATATTATGTAAGCACTGGTTTCTATCAACTAGAATGTGATTCAGAGGCTGACACTAGGTCTGTACCCTAAGGTTGGTGTCTAGTATATAGGAAAAGTCCTTCTGTTTAATGGAATTATGTTATGGATAAAATCCAATCTCAAGATTTTCTATCTTCTAGTAAAATACACCTAAGAAACACTTTCCTAATAGATCAGTTATTTCTTCTCATTCCTAACATGGCCTTAAAAGAAATTTTAAAAGTGTAAGAAATGAAAAATTAAATGATCTCCTTGTTGCTAGAGAAATGGTAAACAAGAGCCCCCAGTATACGGCTCTCTTGAACCTGATTGTACTGTCTAACTATTAATCAGTGGTATCTGTGCCTAAGAAGAAAACTGTACTCTAGCAAGGAGATGCTATGACACTCATCTGTGCCATTGTCAAATTGGAACAGAAGCACATCTGTCTCCACAGGTGCAGACAGATGTGGGGGCTTACTCACTGCATCCACTGCTACAGCTTCTTTTTATTCATGAGGGAAATTTCAATATCCAAATAAAAACAAAGCATTCCTTCTTTAACAAAAATCCCCATCCATTTGATTCAGACAAATATGAATCAACAACTTTTTGACTTCAAGTTCAAAAACAAAGTTTTGTTTTGTTTAAAGATTTATTTACTTTTTTACTTTATATGTATGGGTATTTTGCCTACAGGTATGTACGTGCACCATATACACCTGGTTCCTGCAGAGGCCAGAGGAGGACACCAGATCCCCTGGAACTGGAGTTATAAATACTTGTGAGTCACCAGCTGGGAACCAAACCTTTTAAAAAATTATTTTTGTTTTATGTGTATGAGTGTTTTGCCTCATGTATATAAGTGTACCACATGTGTAAACTTGCAGAGGCCAGAAAGAGGTAGTCAAATTCCTCTTGAAGTGGAGTTATGGACAGATGTTAAGCCACCATGTGGGTGCTGGGAACCTAACTCAAGTCCTCTGAAAGAACAGCCAGAGTGCTCTTAACTGCTGAGCCATCTCTCCAGCCCCCAAATGAGGTTTTTAAACAAATAATTTTAATATATGGGAAATATTAGAGACTAAGTAGTATTTCTGATCTAGCCTTTTTATTTTATAGGAAAATGGATTCCTAGCAATTAAGCTACTTGGCCAAGGACACAGTTAGTTAGGGGAGAGGGCTAGCTAGGCCCTGGAAATATGTGGCAAATACAAATGCACAATCCTCAAAGGAAAGCAGGAAAGCAGCCAGCTCATTTCTTTGGTTAGGCTCTCCCCAAAGGACACTCCTTCATCCCCAAGGCTGACTTGTCACTGTGATGAACGGAATCATTTGTTCCCCAAGTGGCGGTACAAGTGGTTTAGGTAGCACCTGATTTAATAATCCATTAAAGAATGCAGCAAAACTTGATGTCATCAAGAGAGTTACTGACAGGACCCAGAGAAACAACTATGGACTTCAGTACAAAAACTTAAAAAAGAAAATTCTATCTTCATTGGCACATCTCTGGCTTCCTGCAAGAATAAAGCAGGGGTTTTTAAATATTTATCTGTTCATATTTGTTTTACAGAGCACTGCTTCTAATTTATCTAGTATTCAAACAGTCCCCTTACAGGGGGTATTACTTCACCTTCCTTACTGCAAATGCCAGCCATTCATTTTTAATAAGCAATAGAAATTACGATAATGTTCTTACCAAATAAGATTACATTAGAAATGGAAGCAGATGTAAAAGGAACAAACTTAACAATTTTAACACTTTTAGAATGTAAGGGGAGATGGCTCAGTTGGTAAAGTGCTTGCCACATAAGCGTGACAACATGGGTTTGATCCCCCAGCACCCATGTAAAAAAGCTGGGTGCAGTAACACATGCCTAGGATACCAGGAAGCAGAAACAGCAGGGGCCCCTGAGGCTAGCTGGCAGGTCAATCTAGCCAAATCAGTGAGCTCCAAGTTCAGTGAGAGAGTGATCTTCAAAAGTAAGGTGAAGTGAGTAAGACATCTGACATTGACCTCTAGCCTACACACACACAGTTCAAATGGTAACTCCATGGTAAGACACCTCATTTCACAGAAGTGTCACCACAGCACTATAGAAAACAACTGCATTGCTCTGAGCCAAAGACAACATAGAAGTAAAACGAGAGGTCCCAAGAAAAACAAGAATGTGGTGCTTCAGCTCTAAGGGCTGAGATCTGTTCTGTGCTGCACATCTTAAGACTGTAAGAAAGAGCTGTATTTTTTTTTTTTCAGCCCCTACTCTATGCTGCCCTACTCTTGTGCCATGAAGATCTGAAAGTATAACTAAAGTTCACTTTAAAAAAGAAGCAGCAGCTGGGTGTGGTGTCTCAGCACTTGGGAGGAGGGGGGGAGGAGGGAGGAGGGGGAGGAAGGGAG